TTTTTTTTTTTTTTTTTTTTTTTTTTTTTTTTTATATGAGAAAAAGTTTGAGGAAGTGAAGGAAAATGCAGCTGCAGGTGGGTTGGTGTATGCATTCATGCAGGATGGAAGAAACCTTACCTGCAACCACATCTGCAGTAGCTGGCGTATAAGGTGACGATGTGGCTATTGTTGTAATATTAGCCTCACCTAACACGTAATAAACACAGAGTAATTCCAAGATAAATAAAAGGAGAAATAACTTTTACTTTTCCTAAGCTTGGGTTTCCAGGAATAGACTGAAAATCTCTGCATCTACTGGATCTAAATCCTCTCCTTCACCACAAACTGGTCTGTACTGGTTTCTCCAGCTTCAAGAAACAGGAGCGTGTTTCCTTTTTCTTGCTGGAGATGAAAGCCAACGCTCCGATGTAGAACAGGTGACTCAGCTTCCAGCACAGCGGAGAAATCCCCAGAGACCTTTGACCTCCTAATCGCTGAGCAGCGCTTATAGCTGGAGATCTGCTCCAGGCTATTAGGGAGATTAGTGTCACACAGATTTTGGGAGCAGGCCAAGCCTATATCTGTTCTTCATGGCATTCTCAGCATTTATTACTTAGCACCCAACCCATGTTGAAATCCAATATGTGACCTATAGTAGCACATAGCTGCAGGCTGCAGCATGTGTGCAGATTGTGTTAAGCAACAGGGAGATGGACATACCCTTGGTAGTTTGTTAAAAGAAGGATAGTTTACATTCTGGGTTTTCCTATATGGCAGAAATGCCCCATAAGCCCTGTTTATTAATTAGATCCTCCATGTAGCGCAAGAAATACAAGTTTATTGTTGCAATTTACTTACAAATATGTTGCATGTTATTACAAGTCTTTTTTTTAATGAAAAGGTAGACCTTCCAGCTCGGACCGCCCATCTTTTGTCGCATCGGGACAAACCAGAGTATAAAACAAGCAGCCTTCCCGAACAAAAACAATCCCTAAGCTCGTAAAGCCGCTCAAACAAGCTCCAAAGAGTTATTCAGCTTCCTGCCGGAAGTGTGCGGATTTTACCTCCAAAGTAAAAGTAGAACGAACGCAATGTCAAAACTTGAGCAAAACCAACTACATTGATATTTCAGTGTGTACATAAATATATAAAAAGAGGTTTTCAGACATCACAATTAATTAATAAACAAACCAAACGCCACTGGTTAAATAATTGTGGATTTCTACATGGAACATAACTCCAAAAATATTTGTGGAAAATTCCCATATTCTGGGATTTTTTTGAGTACATATCTAAGATATTCTAAAAGTACTTAGAGGGAGTCGATTTTAGGTATTTGTAGACTGTTGTGATAATGACTCCCACTAATGCCAGGGCTCCAGTGAGCTATAACCTTTTCTTCTCCTAAAAATGGACCAAAAAAAATCTAATATTTCAAATATATAATCCAATTTCTGCTGGTTATTCCTACATGCTGCAGCTCCATTTTTCTACAAACGTTGGCTGAACTTTTCCCCAAATATTCTGAGATTCCCAATCAGTATTTCCACTTCGGCAGCAATTGCAGGTGATTTTTCTAACCTGGAATTTGAAATTCTTACTTCCAATGACAACATTTTATCCCCCAAAAAATTCAAAATCAATATTCCCAGCTTGTTGGCAGGTTCGCTTTCAAACTTCTTTGAACAAATGGAAAACACTATAAAAAAAACTTACATTCTACTATAGCTGTTAAATATTTTTGAACATTTGCTTTTTATTTGTTTTTATTTAGAAAAAAAAAGAAAAAGTATTTCCTTGTGTTTTACTTTGAAAATCATCACCGGATGCGGCACAGCTCAACTTGGCATAGCTGACACAGACCAATGACTCCATCTTGAAATTGTCCCGACCCGAGGAGGAGACGGACTTGGAAAATCCAGCTCGTCCTACACGGATTAACTGTAGTTTTGCCCGATTATTCTGCCATAATACACGGTTTTCGCTCCTTGTATCGAGTTATTTCGACGGAAGCGGTTGTTTGGCCCACTTTGGAGGAGCATTTCACTCCGCTTGGAGCCCTTTAATCGGTTGTGTCCCTGCTGGAGCGGCCGGAGCTGGCTGTGGTTGTGGCCGGGCAGCCCCGTCGGACTGTCGGGCGAAGCGCGAGCTTCCACACGGATTTAAACGACAAAAACTGCTTTTAAACCCACCGTTTTCAACTCGAAGACTACGGAGTGGTCTTTTTTAAGAAAGAAAGAAATCATATTTTACGGCTATGTTCCGGAGCTCGCCGAGGAGAAGTTTGATTAAGCACCCGAGTGCGCTTGGTGTGGAGTCCGATGGATGTTAGCCCAGCCCGGCTGTGGCTCGGCTCTCTGCGCCGCTCTTCTGAAGGCTCAGCTTGTCTGCCTATAATGCTGTTGCTGACCTCGCAAGTGTATGAAAACACTGGCACTGGTGCCACCAAGTCGCCCTCCATTGCTTCGCTGTAAAACCTGGAAATACCACCCAGCGTTCCCTTCTCCCCCTCTCCTGTTTTTGGGACTTGTAACCTGGAATATTTTGGATTTGGCCTCCATTTTCTTTAAATATGCACATTTTCCAGAGACTGTTCTCCTTTGGGGAGCAAGACATTCAATTTTAGATTGTTTTTTTAGATTTTTTGTTCTTCATTTTTGTGGAGTTTGAGCTTTTATAAAACCATTCTTTTTGTGGACACATTCGGATGGAAAATGGGAGACGCTACAAAACTGGCCATAGCCGTTTTCCTCATCTCCTGCTCTTCAGGTGGGTATATCGAGGTTGTGCATGGTCTTATAATGCAATGTTTATTACCTCTGCAGAATGCAATGCACAGCTTGTTGCAGGATGCATTGAATGCAACACAACCCAGACCTGTGGGAAGGAAAGAAGGGTGGAAAAAAAACAAATCCCTTCAACCTTTTCTGCAACCCACTTGTGTGGTTGTGCATGTTTCATATTTAGTCAGCTCAAGATGGGGCCTTAAGGCCCTCAAGGGGCCTTTGTGGAGCTTTGAGTGAGACATGCTGCTAGAAATTGGGTCTGTTTAGTTTAAGTTAATTAGGAAACAATAAGAGACTGTATAAAGAAGGACTGTGCAGTGGGAATAAATGGATTATAAGCCCAAATTTAACGTTAAATGGTTGTGATTTGAATGAGGCTGTGCAGTGGGTTTTGTTAGTGTATTATATATTTTTCACTCAGTATATTCACTTGAACAAGCAAGTGCAAACAAGCAGAAATGAAGTCTGGTGAGGCAGAATTAGAACCGTGTTGCAGCTACACTTTTAGCTATTTTACCTGAAATGGCAGTAACAAAATCAAAAAAACTTTTGTTGTATTTTGATTTATTTTTTGTACATTGTGAAAGAAACTGTTATACTGAATACACTGAAATTGACCAAAAAGTAAGTGATTATGTGCTGTTGATGGATTATATCTTATATAATTTGAAAAGTATTGGACTGAGCACAGAACCTTGTGGTACACCACAAGTAAGTTTAGCCACTTACTGATTTGAAGGCGTGGATTTTTATTGTTGAAATTAGACATTTTTGGTTAAAAATGAAGTTGCAGAGTCATTAAATGCTAAGTTATTTATGTCCCTCAAGTTAAATGCTTGATTTTAAAGTTTTTGATATTATAATGAGGTATTCTGTAAGTTTTATTTGATTTAGGTTGTCCTTTTAGTGATTGGTGGGTTTCTTTTGTTCAGCCAGAAGATCATTCATTGCTGTAGAAGATGTATTCACCATTTAAATTGGCATCAAAGAGTGTTCTACCTTGATGCTTTTTTTTTTATTTTAAATATCTCAGCTACATTTGGAAATTAAACTGAAAATTATTTCCAATGTGTGATGGAAACAGGAGGAGGAGAAGGCCTGGCATGTGATTTTGGAAATGTTAACGGACTGTTTGGCTTTTGGAATAAAATGACACTCAAAATGGGGATGAAAAGGATAAAGATGATGCTGTAGGTATGTCTGGGTGACTTTGAAACAATTTTAAACTGCAGGAACAATGTGATGGAATATTTTTAGCAGTTTTAAAGCTCATCTTCTTGAAATTAATGAGTAATATCCCATGTCTGTTAGTCATAGTATGTTGGACTTTAATAGGTTTACAGTTAATTATACACCCCCTTTCCTCTTTTTACGTCCTCATTTTCCTAAAGTTAAACGTCTCACTCCTACGGCGACGTGGTGACGAACACAACAAGGCCAACCACAAAGTGCTGTTTGGGTTTTCTTCCCTTTCCGTTGGTTTTTTTTTTTTTTTTTTTTTTTTTTTTGCACCATTGTTTGTGCTGCATTTGCAAAAACCTGTTCCTATTTATGGAAGAGTTGGTCT